GAGCGCAACTGTCCCAAAGTGAACTTGTAAAATGTTCCCTGGGGATGGAGACAGACATAGAACTTAGCAGGGTAGGAAGGAGGGGGGTGTCTTAGGAGGGGAGAGATCCGAGAACTCCAAGAGCCCAGGCCAAAAAGTGAGTCAAAGGCTCCAGCTTGAGGTGGAAGGAGAAGGAATATGTCTACAGATTGACACCCCCCATACCAAAATGCATCCAGTCTCCATAGCAACCGTAGCTCCAAGAGTGCCTCAGAATCAGCGGGGATAAGCAGAGAGGAGAATCGGTGTATATGGTGGGTGGAGGGACCTGCCAGGGGATTGGGGGTTAATGGAGGCACCATCCTCGCATCTAGTTAGCCACATGTGGGGTATTTAGTACCCCTGAATATAAGGACCCCTTCAGTTGTGGTGGGAGCCGGCCTCTTTTGGGTTCCCATTCCATCTCCTGAGGTTTTCCAGGTGGAGCTCTTTTAGAAGGTTAAAGAGGAGATAGAATGGAAAACGTCTGTCTGCTCTGTATTCACCACCTTCTAGGGACCCTGGAATTCAAGGTTCACTGTCCTCTATCTTGGGGAGAAGGTTGAAGGGGGTAGGCCAATGGGGAATGGAGGCTGAGACTTGTCAGGGACGGACCAGAGTGGTGGGAGGGCTTCCTGCAGGCTTGGAGACCCCTCCCTGGACTCAGGGAGTCTCAGCATTCCCCTAATTTGGCATCCCACCCTCCTGACGCAGCTGAGACTATAATAAGTGCTGTCGTGGGCGGCTCTAGGAGGCAGGAGCCCGCAGTGTGCTTGGCCTGGTAGGGGGTGAGGGGGGAGTGGAACCAGGATGCTGGATGCCCTTTGTTTTCCCTGGGACCTGTACCCAATCCTGAGGTCAGCAGCCCCCTCTCCACCCCACTCCAGGAGGACACCATTCCCAGGACAGGGGATCGTTCAGTAACCTTTTCTGAATTTTCTGGAAGAGAAGGGGAAGGAGATTTGCTAATTCTGCCTTAATTTTCCTTCCTTCCTTTGGTGGCCTTAGTTTTCCTTTCTGTTCAGTGGGAACAGAATCCTGACTCTTAGAGAAGGAGTGGAACAAACCACTTACGAAGAGTGGAGTCTTCTGGGAGATTCCAGCCTCCACCCCTCCTCACGCCCTCCTCCAGAGCTAAGCAGAACTCCTCCACCAGGACTAAACCTTTTTCCTCCCCTTCTTTTTTTTTCCTACAGGGGTGGGGCTTGGAGTTCCTCCCTAGGAGGCCCCATAGGGCCACTCCCCCTAGGTCTGCCTTTCTACCCACTGAGGCTGTAGGAAAGATGTCAGCCATTGTTCTTGGCAAAGGGTGGGGACAGGAGGTGAGGACACTAGCTTCAGAAAGGCAATGGGAAGGGGATCAGACTGTCCCCTTAGGGTCCCAAACCAAATGTTCCTTCCCCAAGTTATGGTCTGGGGGCCTCTACCTTCAGAGAGGCAGGAGGTGTCCCTGATGGAAAGAATGGCCTCTTGAACCACCACCCCACCCCAGGTAGGCAGCTAAGACTGGAGTGGCTGGGAGACCAGGCTATGATGAAGGATGTATTTCTCCCAGACACCTTTCCAGAACAACATAGCTGGCTTTTGTTAGCTCTTTGCCACCTCAGAGGTAAATGAGAGGAGAGTAGGCTGGAGATGACTTTCAGTTCCACTAGTTCCTTAGTGCTGGGGCCCTGTGGATAGAGAGAAACTGTTCCTACTGGGGCCCCACCACAGGACTGAAGGCTGGGGTGGGCAGGAGGATGTGGCGGATGGTGTTGCCATGGCAGCACTTCCTCCCTGTGTTGTCATCACTTGCTCTAATGGCACTAAGGAGGTAGAGCGGAAGGTGTATGTGTTGGGGGTGGGGAGAAGGACAGGAACAGGAGCATGGGGAAGAGAGGGGACCGAAAAGAGTCTTGGGGACTTCTTTACACTTCGGCTATGCAAAGCATACAGTCTGAGCGATAGCGTGTGCCTGAGAGCCTGGGATTCTCTGTATGGTGTATTTCAGTGTGTGTGTGTTTCTCTCTACAGCTGGAGAACAAGAGGTCACCGATCCTTTGTGGGTCCTGGGAATGAACACATTATCCAGTCCCAGAACCTCCTGCCCCACACTGCTTCCTGCCCTGGACTTCCCAGGCAGGGTCCAAGTCTACCATGGGTCTGTCACAGCCTCTCTTCCCCATGCTCACCCACTTCTCCATTGCCAAGAAGGTCAGTTCAGCACTGACTTGTTTTTTTATCCCCTGGGAGAAGGATCAGAGTTGAGGAAAGAGGAAGAACAACACCTCCCATATCTTTTTTCCATCCTGTCCAAATGTATTCTTCCCCCGAGTCCCAGCTCCATCTAGAGGACTAGGAAATGGCTGGTTGGGAAGGGATGTATGACACAGCAGGCCCTTCTATGCCCCTGCTGGTCCCTGATACACCCAGGGTGGGAGCTAACCCTTCTCTTACCTTGCACACTGTCCAGTGAGGCCTGGATGCTGTCCCGAAGTTCAGGATCGCTCACCCTCTCTGCCAGTTTCCTGAGGCGGCTTAGAGACTGCTTGGCCACCTCGTGTCGTCTGACTTCTGCTCTCACTGCAGCGACAGCCAGCTGCCTCTGGGCATGCATGTTGCCCAGACCTGTCTTGCTGGGCTAACAGCAACCTCTGGCCTTGAGGCCCATGGCGCCGTAGTCCCCAAACACCAAAAGGCCCCTTCTGCTGTGCCCCAGAACTCCCCACTCCTGCCCGCCCTTCCGTCTGTCGGCCTCACTTCCTGACTGGTGAGTTTCAAACCCACAGCCTGGGACAGCACTACCTGCTGCACCTCCCACCCCCTCTAGCGTTGGCCCATGAGCTCTGCCAGCCAGCCCCTAGGATTCCTCAGCCAGGTGGTTGGAGAGACCTTAACAAACATCCTAGAGCCTCCTGTAGGAGGTGGCTAATTAAGATGGGTGTTGGTGCTAGGAAAATGTGCCAAGCCAGGTCCCAATTTCTTGGGTGCAATCCAAAACTGTTGGTGACCTACAGATTTCTGTTCAGTCTCAAACTCCGACAGGAATGTATACACACTTGGTCTCTCACCCTAACAGTCCTGCATTCCAGCTCGCAATTGTACTCACCATCCACTCTGTACCCACCACATCCAAAGAGCTCGTGTACCTACATCTTGCTCCATAACCCTTCCTCAGTCAGCTGCCCCACTGTAACCACCTCCTGCTTCAAAAGGCCAGGTAGTTATGGGGAGAACAGGTTATGGAGGAGAACAGCAACTATAACCAGACAAAACCACCATGTTCTCTCAATTACTTTCATAATAATTGTCTATAACAATAGTTTACAACACACTTTCAAATATATGGTCTTTATGATAGGCCCAAGGGGTACAGGAAAGGAAACCAAAGCTCAGAGAGGCCAATAAGAGGTGAAACAAATCTATGAGTCAAGGTCTTTTATTGTTTTTTTTTTTAAGATTTTATTTTTAAGTAATCTCTACACCCAAGATCACCCTGAGATCAAGCATTGCACACTCCCTTCACTGAGCCAGCTTCCAGGCACACTTGTTGAGTCTAGGTCTTCTGATTTCAACTCTGGTACTCTTGTTCACTATACCACCCAACCAAGATGCCTGCCAACCAGTTCCCCTTATTCCCAATACCATTGTCTTGCCCTTGATTTGGGACCTGAAAGAGAAGAGGGTGAATGAGGAATTAAAGGACAGAATGAAGATGCAGGGTGTATATGGGGGGGGGTTTGGCTAATTTGATCTAATCATTTTGTTTCAGAACTCAAACCTTTCTGGCCCTGCCAAATGTCTCTTCTGCATATGTTCTTGATACTAATTCATGAAGGATAGGGGATTATACCTATGTGACTCTTTGTATAGTTGGAGATAAGGGAATTGGAGGCTAGGATTACCCACTGGCTTATAGCCTGATGAAAATAACTGAGTGTTGACTGTGTGCCAGGTCCTGTCCTAAGCATTCTGCATATATCAACTCATTCAATTCTCACAACAACCCAAGAGGCGGGTGTATTGTTATTTATCCCTATTTATAGATGAGGAAACAGCCACCAGGAGCCAAAGTTTACCAGGCAGGTAAGTGGCAGAGTTGGAACCCATGCAGTCTGACTGGCAGACTCTCCTGCCTCGGCAGTCATAGAAACCAAAATCAAACTGAAATCGTCCCGTGGGGTTGAAGGGAGGTTTTTTGTGTTCCCATTGCGACTGTTTCTCTTGGGAGAAAGAGGAATTATGCCTTTTCCCATCTCCATGAAAAGCATTTATTCAACAATAAGCATACTGATCAACCTCTACGCCCACCCCCAGAGTGAAAATGCGGAGACCCTTCCTTCCCCTATTCATATTCCAGAACCCTCCCTTTGACTTTTTTTTTTTTTTTGGCAAGCCCCGGATCAGTCACGGGCTCTGAAGATAACCGAGCACACTCAGGTCTGCGCTTGTGGCTTTGTCACATACAGGAATGCCCTGTCTCAAGGCAGCTGTTTTACACACTTAACTTCTAGCATATTCACACCCAGTTAGGAGGGGATATGAAAAACGGATGTGTGTACTAGTGGACACACCTGCAAACGGGTGACGATTTGTTGGATGTTACTGTGCCCAACCCGGGGCCTCCGTGGCCGGGCTAAGAAGCTCGATGTTTTGCTCCTCGGGTGTTCCCGAGTGTGATGCAATAACAACAAACAATGGCGTCATCGTGAGATCACTGCAGGACAAGGGGAAAGGGGCGGGGAAGGGCGCTCCCTCGAGGGGAGGAGCCCTTTCACCCTGCCCTGGAAGCGGCACCTTCTCCCCTTCCACTAGGGATCTCCTGAGCCTCCTCCCTCGGATCAGCCCCCTCCCAGGGGCGACCACCGAACGCTCCGCTTTCAATCCGGGGTTTGTTGAAGTTTAGGATCAGATCCCTATAAGAATCTATGGAAGCCCTACCCCCAGTTTTAAGTTTCAGCCAATAAAGAATCTTAAGGAGGGGCCAGCAGGCGAGTCAGTGACGCAATGCAGACTGATTGGCATTCAGGCCACCGACGTCCTGGATTAGCCCCGAGTTTCGCCAATCCAGAGGCAGGGGTGGGACGGTGCAGGCGCAGAGGATTGGGTTTGGCTGGACTCGATTTAAAGAGACAGAAGCTGTCGGGGTCCAAGAAGGCAGTCCCCAAGACCCTCCCCCCAAGTCCTTGGGACCACTTAGGTCCCCAAAGCTGGGGAGATGGTTTGCGGTGGCTTTGCCTGCTCCAAGAATGCGCTGTGCGCTCTCAACGTGGTCTACATGGTGAGGTTTTGGAGGTGGGGGAAGGTTCAGAGCGGAAAGAGGAGTGGGGAGAATCTCTAGGGGACTTCCGGTGGGAAGAGGGGTGTACTGGGGGTGCCGGGAAGATTCCCGAGAACTTCCGGCGAAGAGGGAATTCCAGGGGACTTCCGTGGGAAGAGGGGAGACTTCCGGTGACCACAGGGTTTATCTGGGGGTGGGGGGAATGAACTGAGGGCTGAGGGAATAAAGCCCCATTCCGCCCTCCTCTGAATTTATTTCTCCAGTATAGAAGTGATGCATGAAGCTAAAGGTTCCTTTTTTATGCTCACAGACTCTACTATCCCTGTTGCCCCCACTCCCATGCCAGCCATTCTGACCTCTGGCGGGCGCAAACACCTCCTCTCCTTCGCACAGTTCTTTTTTGTCCAAGACTCCCTGTATGGCTTTTGGCTGTGCTAGAGTTCTTTATAGAAGTAACCTACTCTGTTTCTTGTAGCTGGTAGGCTTGTTGCTCATTGGAGTGGCTGCTTGGGGTAAGGGTCTGGGTCTGGTGTCCAGCATCCACATCATCGGAGGAGTCATTGCCGTGGGAGTCTTCCTTCTTCTCATCGCTGTGGCCGGACTGGTGGGTGCTGTCAACCACCACCAAGTACTGCTATTCTTTGTATCCTGACCTTAAGTGGGGCTCTTGGGAGGGCTGAACTGGCTAGGAATGTTCCAGAGGTAGACTTGGAGGATCTTGGGGACATGTCTCCTGGCCCTGCCCTTTACCATACTTCATGAAACAAGAGCTGATGGTTTTGTTTTCAACATGGCTTTGTAAGTTCTATGAACAGATGACATCAGATGGTTATTATAGGTGCAACATAAAGGAATCTAGGACTTTTTTTTTTTTTCCCATAACTTCCTCTCAGTACATGATCATCCTTGGTTTGGTCTTCATCTTCCAGTTTGGAATCTCTTGCTCATGTCTGGCTATTAACCGAAGCAAACAGGTAAGTGCACGCCCTCTCAAGTACTTGTTTTCCCCTCAATCCTCTTAATTGCCCCCCCTACCCTGCCCCCCATCCAGTTTGGACCTCTTAGTAGGCCCGCTGCTTCCAGACTCTTCAGTTGTTTTCTTCCTCTGGGAAGCCTGGGCAATTTCCCATGAGTATTTTCCAGAAGAACCCAAGGTAGATTCTTACCATTTTCTGTATAATACACCTTTGTTTCTGAGGGATGTTGACTGACTTTGCTGGAATACGGAGATTGAGGCACTTGAACTAAGAGCAAGATGTGAGAGCATTCTTAAGGTCAGCAGCATCCAATGACTTCCCTCTGCCTATATTCTCCAGACAGATGTTATCAATGCTTCTTGGTGGGTCATGAGCAACAAGACCCGGGATGAACTGGAAAGAAGTTTTGATTGTTGTGGCTTGTTCAACCTTACAACCCTGTATCAACAGGATTACGCTTTCTGCACTGCAGTGAGTTGGTGCAGAGATGGGGGGCGGGGGGAGATGCAGGAAGGCTGGTTAAGGACAATGCCCAAATGGGCAGATTTAAGAGTTTGAATGTGATGGTCTCTCTTTAGCAGCTCTCTTGCCCTGAGGCCATGTGCTGGTAGCGGGAGGGAGGTATGGATACAAATGTTAAGAGAATTTGTCAAGTGGGATTTCAGTCTGTAGGATACTGATCACAAACTAGTAAATAATTTCTGGGACCCTTCACCACAGGTGTTGGGACAGGGAAGCCTAGCAACTCTGCATCCTCTAAACACACATACGTGTTTTATCCTCAGATCTGTAAGAGCCGGAGCTCCACGTGCCAGATGTGTGGAGAAAAGTTTCTTAAGCATTCAGATGAAGCCCTGAAAATACTGGGAGGTGTTGGACTCTTCTTTAGCTTTACAGAGGTAACATTCTTCAGTTCTCTCATATATACCCTTTCTCTGTCTGGTTTTGCTCCAGAGATTCGGAATTGCTGATAATCTCTTTTCCTTTGCTTTTTACAGATTCTTGGTGTTTGGCTAGCAATGAGATTTCGGAATCAGAAGGATCCTCGAGCTAACCCCAGTGCCTTTCTATAAGACTCTAGATCCTTTTGACATGTCTCCTGCTCTCTATTCTCCCTAAGCTTTTCTTCCTCCCTTAGGGAAAACCTAGGGTCTGTAGCCCTTTTTGTTTGAGAAAAAGGAAAGATCCTTTGCCACATCCCCCAAAGATGACCGAACAGCCAGGCTGTAATGCCTTGACATGTTTAGCGGGAACAAGATCATAAAGAATAAAGAACAACTTCCTCCCTCTCTCCCTAAGAGAATATGGGAAGCTGCTGGAATGCATGAAATGGGATGGGGGCTGGAGTCATTCCTAGCTCTGTTTCCCCTCTTTTCCCTTCCACATGCCAGACCCCCTCAACACATCTTGGCCTGGCTTCAAGGGCAAATCAGGGATGGAACCAGGGGAAAAAACCACCAAGAATTCTTTCTTAACAATACACAGGACCCGGTATGGGGAAGTTCAGTGAATATAAAAATAAAAGCCATTTAAACTCCATATTCAAAGAAACAACTTAAGTGCTTTTTCTTCTCTTGCCAGTTGAGGGGCTCTCTGCTTGCCTATATAGGCCCTGTGACCTAGGGAGAATCTCTTAAGATTCTATAGGGAAATTCCATCTTCCAAATGGTTTTTCCAAATCCCCAAATGGCAAAACCCATCAGAGAAAGAAATATTAAAAAAAAAAAAAAAAAAAGACCGTATTTCTTTGTTTTGTTTTGTTTTTCCTGTATAAAAAAGATCCCAATATCAAGATAGGAAGGGGAGAACAAGGGACATACCCCTTGGTGTATGAAAGTAAGGGGAGAGGAGAAGGATAAGCCTCAAAAGGCAGGGAAGGAGGGGAATGTCATTAAGGCAGCCAAATATTCAGTAAAAAGTGGGAAGAGTTGTTTCCATAGCCTCAGAGATGAAGGCCAAGATGGCCTTACTCAACTGGGGAGCTCTCCACTCAAGTGTTCAAAGGAAGGGAAATGACAGCTTCTCTTCTCACAGTCCTGTTGCAGCCACTCCACTGCTCACTCTGGGTTACCTTCTGGCTTTTGTAGGTAAGAGTGCTGCAGGGCTCGGAAGGCAGAGATTCGCTTGTGTGGGTTAAAAGTCAGCATCTCCTGAGAAGGGGAGGCAAAGATCAAAGACCATGAAGACAAAAAAAAAAGATAAAACAGACTTGCTCACTCCCAACAATACCCAGGATAGGCTGTTTTCTACATCCCTCTTTGTGGATGGCGTATTCACAGCAACCGTAAAAACTAGCCCATGAACCAACCAAGTCTTAGTTACCGTGACGATCTGGGTCCCTTTTATACTGCTTCATTCCCACCCCAACCTCACCCTGTGCCCAGGCCCAGTACCAGCAGCAGCTGTGCTCCAGACTCCTCCATCTCAGGTACCACTGACTGCACCGGACGGGGCCCTCTGGGGGAAAAGGCTCCTCGGGGTAGAGACACATCTCGGGGCCAGTCGTCCTCTGGAGGCAGCCCGATCAGGCTATAGGTAACAGGAGAGCTCTGGTCAAGAGGGTCCTTCTCCAGCCCACAACTCCAGAGGCAGAGCCAATTGCCACCCAGGGCTCAGCAGAAAAAAGATTCAGAATGGAAAGTTTTCCCCATGCTGGTCACTTACTCAAAGATTTTGCCTAACTGGTCAGCTTCAGAGTTTCCACAGAAGAGAGGCCTAAAGTAAGAGAAACACAGGTAGCAGTCATTCTCAAAGGTACGGTAGTAGAGTCATTATTGCTAGTGGCTCAAAACCGAGGGTACGCACAGGAGAGGGATGTGAAGTTCCTAGTCCAGGACATTTCAGAGTTTCTGGTTAGGAACAAAATGGTCAGTGATACTTAAATGTAAGAATAGGCAGGGAATGGATGTGGTTTATGATTACGAGATTTAGGAAACTCAAGAGAATTCAGGATACTTGGGTCCCATACTTGCGACGAAACATCTCTGCGAAGATACAGCCAACGCTCCACATGTCCACGGGTGTTGCATATGTAGACTGCAGAAGAACTTCTGGAGCACGGTACCAGAGTGTAACAACCTTACAGGAATCGGAAAAGTACATGAGGACCCTATGGGTTACGATGAACCACAACGGCTTGACTAAAATCACAAAGTCCATGACTTCTCAACTGCTATGGTCAACCACTCTTCTACCCCCATCTTTTTACTGACCACAGGTGTAAGTGCCATCTGGTAGCTGTAGATTCTGGCCAGGCCAAAGTCAGCCAGCTTCACTGTCCCACCACTGGTCACCAGAATGTTCTCTGGCTTCAGGTCTCGGTGAACAATGCAGTTGGCATGAAGGAAATCTAGGCCTCTTAGAAACTGGCGCATGAGATCCTGGTTTGGAAGGGGAAGGAACAGAGGAACTAGAATCTAGGCACCATACCTGAAATCAAAACAGGTTCTACTACAAAGGTCTCAATGTACCTTCTATGTCTACCCACCCTACTCACCTTGATGGTGTCCACTGGCAAGCCTGGGGGGGGTGCCTTATCCAGATACGTCCTCAGGTCTTGGTCCACGTGCTCAAACACCAGGGTCACTTTGGTCTCCCGGTCAGTTCGGGCGGTGGCACAGACATCCATCAGCCTGGCCAGAATAAATGGTCACTCACTTACTTGATCAATCCTTTTGGACCCCCTATTTTCTCAGGATCCCCACTTCTCTCCTCCCCACCAAAAGTTGTCTTTTCCCCTTTACTACCCACTTCTAACCCTCCACCATCTCACCGGACAACGTTGGGATGCTCAAAAGCTTCCAGCCGCCTCAGTAAGGCCACCTCACGAACTGTGCTGATGGGAAGGCCCCCTCCAGCACCTCCTCCATTAGGGACTCTCACGCTCTTGAGGGCCACGAAGTGGCCACTGTGGGGATCACGGGCCTTGTATACCGTTCCATAGGCACCAACACCAATCTCAGCCACTGGCTCATATCGAGGAGTAGCCATTCTCTGAACAGAGAAGACCCTACAATCACAAAGACCCCTGCCACCGAAAATCCCTTCCAGAGTTCAGATGGTATGAACCTACAGCAATAAAGTGACTCCCACAAAAGACATCACAAAGACACCCCACCACCATCTCGTCCCTTCTCCAATCTTCCATGAGGCTAGCCCCTCAGGCAACACAATGACAACACAACCCCTCCAGCCACGTAAAACCCTAAAATAAAAAATTCCTTTTCCTTTGGGACGGACCATCGCGCCCCGCACAGGGTTCCATCTCACACGACACACCCCCCGCATCGAAGACCCGACATCCAGGCCCCAAAATGACACCTCCATATGACCACAAAGGCACAAATTACACGCTGCCCCACTTCCCGCCGTTGAGCGACCCTTCCATAACTTGTCCGCGTAGGCAGCCGTGGAGAGCGAAAACGGTCTCCATTCCTGGGAAGGGGATATACTTACCTCACTCCGTGCCGGGAGCTGCGGGGGCGGCCCGTTATCGGGGCCGCGGAGCCAGATCCTGCAGCGCCATACACTCGAGCTCCGGACAGGACAGCAGGACACTACGGGCCCGACCATAGACACAGGCCGCAAGCTAGAGCGGCCCCCTTACCCCCACCCTCACCATGTGACCAGCTGCCAGAGAGGCGCGCGGAAACTGGCGGGGCGGGGCGAAAGCCGGACGTTCGGGGCACGTGACAAGCCACTCATGCGCAGAGGGGTACCCAGGAGAGGCTATGACCGGGAAGGGGGCGGGGAGGGGAAGGGGGCGGAGTGGGGAGATGGCAGCCACGTGATCTGTTGCTACCACACGTGACCCCTTGACTTAGCTCTGAGGAGCCGAGGTGTGGTTACGCGGCGGCGCACGTGACTGACTGCCAGACCCTGGCGGGGTTGGGGGGCGGGCGGCGGAGGAGACGAGAGAGGGTGGAGTCCAATGCGGTGCCATGGCAACCTGGGCCACCCAGATTCCCAACTCAGGGCTGCAGGCAGAGCCTGAGCGCTGCTACAGCCTCACTACATACTACACGTCTCTCATTCTCTATATGCTGGTCAGGGATCGGGAGGATGGGACGGGGAGCCAGAGGTGGTGCTGTCGCCTCTGTGCTTCACTGCCGTGGGAAAACATTCTCATTTGTGTCTTTGTTTCATTCATTCACTCATTCAACAAATTTTTACTGAATGCTTGCTTCCTGTGTGCATGCGGGTGTTTTTTTTTTTTTTTTTTTTTTTTTTGGTGTCTCAGTTACTAGCCCTTTAAAGTAATGATGAGGCTGTCTGTAAAGATGTAGCCAACAGTGTGTGTGGTCGTATAAGAGAGTAGACAATACCCATTTGAGGGCAAAACTAGGATTAAAGGATTGATGGAGGGTAGATTAATGCAGTAATCCAACAGGAAGAGAGTCAAGGTAATGCCCTCCCCTCTTCTAACTTCCACCCCTTCCTGGTAGTGTTAAAATAACGCTTTCTGGCAGAGAAGGTATCAATGAGCAAGAGACAGGAATATTTAGCCTTTCAGGTTCTTTCCAACACTAAGATGCTATGATATATGTGTATCTGTACATGTGTATATATGTGTATTTTACACATTATATATAGATGGATAGATACGGGAGTGAGCATGTGCAAGAAAGTTACTTCCACCACCACCTCAGACCCTGGCATTGCATGAGAATCATTTGTGCTCTTCTACAAACCCTGTCTGGGGTCGTTCTGCTTCTCTCTTTTCCCCATTGCAAGCTTTCTTAGCCCTTGCTCCTGCCCAGAACACAGACTTTTCTAAATAGCTTCTGTTCACAGACACTTAGGTAGACAACAGAGAGGTTTCTCTGACTTTCTTTGTCTTACTGGTTACTGGTTCCAGCTTCCTTTCTGATCTCCTAACACTTTATGGGAATGAGAATAAGGAAGAAAGGGATCAGTATCTCATTTGCAAGAAATTGTCTAAAATCTGAAACCATTTTATAGCTCTATTTACCACTCTTTCCACCTTTTAAAAAATATTTTATTTATTTGAGAGAGAGAGATCAATGGGGGAGGGGCAGAGGGAGAAGCATAGTCCTTGGGAGCAGGGAGCCTGGCACAGGACTCTATCCCAGGACTCTGGGATCATGACCCCAACCAAAGGCAGACATTTTACTGACTGAGCTACCCAGGTTCCGCTGGCCACTTCTTCCATCTTAACTTCTATTCTCCCTAACCATCTAGTGGAGGATATAACAGCTCAGGCTTGAGATGACTATAAACCACGCTCCAGGGCAAAATGGAATACAGGTCAGTACAGATTCCCCCTTCTTTGCAT